CCATGAGAATCTAGTGCAAGCAGGATTAGTAAGATAGGAGAAGTAGGAGAATTTCTGCAAGTAAGCAGGGAGAAAGTAAAAGCAGCTCTAGTCTCAAAAATCCCCAAAGTTGCCTTGGTTTTCCTTTGTTCCCTTATTTCTTCTGTGAGTCTGTTCATCTCCTTGATAATCTAAATTCACTCTCCCCAGTTCTCAATATCCTTCTTTCAGATGTAAGGAAGCTGAGATAGAGAAATAATTTTATATATTTTAAGGAAAGATCATTGTGAAATATGCTGGCTGTCTGGGTGTTAGAAAAGAAAGTGGATAAATAAAACAAAAATCCACATGAAAGTGAAGGAGTTTGGGAGTACGATCCAATTAAGAGCACAGAAGAGTTATAATTTTTAGACTCGGGTATCTTAGATGACATAGTATTCTATTGTGAAGGATTTGCAGGAAATCAACATGTAGAACCGAGGTGGGATTGAAGGGACCTTTAGAAGGAAACAGTCTATACTTCAACTTTCAGACCTTCTGAAAGTGACAATTACATACAGACTTGGAGCATCTTCAGGGATGAGTCTTATTCATCTGAGTATTTCAAGTACTTGGAACCTAAGAGGAGGTGCTTGAAAAAGCTTGTTGGATGAAATGGTTGGATGTATTAGAGTTTGTTAACTGGAAAGTGAGTACACATATTTTTACCAAATAAAGTTCCCAAGTTGTCTTAAAACTGTAAAATGATTTTCATGCAAAGGTAAAATTTGCCTTGTTCTCAAGAAGCAACTTTCAACAATTATATAAATGTAACAAACACAGCAATTTCAAAGATAAAATGTTGGCATCCCCACATGAGCTGCAAGCTTGGAATCACAATAGCATCTTGTAAGATTCTGGAAGGCTGCAACTTTGGAAGAGTATGCTGTGAAATACATGCTGTACAGATAGTTTTTTATTTGCTCATTTATTTATTGGACCCTCAGCAAGTGGTAAGTCCTGGCGACAAAAAATAACAAAAGATAAGTTTATAATCTAATAGTGAGACTGGGGTATAATCTCTGCATTGGTGTAGAAGATAAATAGAAAATGGAGAATAGAGGGTAAGAGAATTATTAGCAAAGAACTCAGAAAGATCCTTTGAGCATTTATGCCTGTAACTGGATGCCTTAGTGGTAGTGATGGAGACACATGATACAGAATTCTTGCTGTGTCTCCATGCAATTTACAATGTCAACAGGAGGATAGGATTAACCCTTATAAATACTAGAGAACAATACAGAAGAGTATATAATGAGATCACCTTTTAATTCCATGTTCATTACTCAATTCATTCCTGCAGTCACACATTAATTTCCTCAACATGTCTGTGGAGTACTTACCACGTGCCAGGCTCTTGGCTAGCCATGGAGATAAAGTGATAAACATGAGAGTCAGGGTCTTACAGAACAGATAATCTAGCAGAGAAGATGGACTTCAAACAAGTAATGCCAATATGTAATGAGTATTATAGTAGGGAAAACACAGGAAGGGAACATAGAGCAGGGGAATCTAACTTGGTCCAGGCCTCCCTGAGGAAGTAAAATGGAAACCCAAGTGGCGGGGTGTCCACTGTTTCTGACAGTGACTCCCCCATATTCCAGCCAGTAGGTCCTTTGCATCTGCAACTCTCATCTTGTTGTTTCAATTCTCCTTTTAATATAGTTCCTGTTCCAGTTATAAAACTCCTATGAATCCTGACTTCTTACAGTACAGTAGACAAACTTTTACGCTGGAAGCAATCCTCCTTTCTTTTTCTAAGAGGCACTATCCCTATTTAACTTCTTTTTCCAGATTAAAGAATATCATTTAACATCATTATTTCACACTTGACAGTTCTCACTCAGGCCACCACCATGATGAGTTCCATCCGTGCATGTGCAGGTTAAATGTAGGCACCATTTCTAAGAGGTACATCTATTTTATCTCTCTTAAGACTCTAAAGTATTTGAAGGTAATCCTCATATCTCTAACCTATTTTCTCTAATCCCCACAACATCCATGGTAATGATACTATAATCATAATAGATATAGTGATAAAAGCAACCACTATCACTTACTGAATACTTACTATGTACCAGTCATTTTGCAATATCCTATATACATTATCTTACCTAATATTTATAAGATGCCTATGAAATGGTTATTATTATCTCCATTTTTCAAATGATTTATAGGGATTAAAAGTTTGGTCAAAGTCACAGTTATTACAAGACGTTTGAGATTTGAACCCAGATTTGCTTGATGCCAGTGTTTATAGTATTATTCAGTCCTGCCTTGGCATTGTACATTCAGAATATTGTAAATATTCTTTGAACTAATTCTCTGTGATAGGTTACCAAACTGTGAGGTCCACTGACTTAGATCTCCCAACATCCACCAAATACAGTGTGGGCACCTCCAGTAGTTGGATTCCTACTGAGATCAATGCTATGGGAGTAGGAAAAGAAATACGCATTATTCCCTATTCTAATATTTTATTGCCCACTGGCATGTTACTCTAAAATAAAACTAAATGATCCTGGGATGTGAAAAATTCTTTTGTTGACACTTTAAGTTGAAATCCCAAATGTTTTGATGTATAAGTCTGATGATTCCTAGGCACTTGGTTAGTCATGAAGGTAAAGTGATGGATGTAATGGAGATAAAGTTGAGGGAGAGGGGAGAGGAAAGAAGTTGCCATTGCTCCTCTTACATGCTGTATCAAGGATGATCTGGGTCCATTGTGATTGGTTGAGATTAGCTCCTCTAAGAAAGAAGGTGAATGAACTGGTTTCCACATAATCTGCCAGCGAACTAGAGATATTTATCTCAACCTGTTCCATCCAGATTCTCCTCTAAGGAAACCTTTCTGCTTGTGGCCTCATTCTACACAGTGGTGCTCTATACTGTGTGTTTGCCCCTTGTCTCAGATGAGTGGACCAAGGGGTAGATGCTTGCTGGAAGACAGACATTCTGTGACCTGGCCAGCTATCTGGATGGACTAGCTTAAAATGATGATCTGGGCCGATCAGTTGCCTTTCTGGGAAATTCAGCAATTGGAAACTAAGGCACCAGGCCAGCTGGCAGCAAAGTCAGATTGTGAGAGGATGCCATGAACCATATGGACGCTAAAACTATGAAGGGGCAGAACAGATAGAGAGTAAAGGCTGAGGAAGCTGGTTGGAAAAGAAGCATAGAGACAATGCACAGAAAGAAGGCAAAGACACTAAGACACTTGTATTTAGAAGTGCCTTCGATCCTGGGTGTTTCCAGTTTGGTCCCTGCTATGTATCCCTGTAATCGCCCCTTCCCCTATTTGAATCTCCTTCCACCATTAATTTTGTGAAGTAACTTGAGTGCGCCTGTTTCTTTCAATCAAAAGAGACTAAAACCATCTTCCTTTCCTTACATGTCAAGCACTTACAAATATGAAGTATTACTCTTAGTTCTCATTAGTAAATGGATGTGAAAAGTCAGATATTCAAAAGAAAGAACTGGAATGTGCTGAGCCAGAAAACCGCATTTTGATTTTTGCACATAGAAAATTTTTACGTTTCATTAAGAAAGTCTGCTCTCAAACTTTTTAGAATGTTTTGTGTTCCCAGTTGGAGAATGGAGATCAGTAATCTATTAGCCGAACTGCTTCTCTCCAAGTTTAATGTCAAAGTGATTCTAATGTGTCTATGTGAGCAACTGCCTGTGAAGAAAACTTTGAGAGACAAAAGGCTTTCTCCCTTTCCACTCTTTATCCTTCATTCAGACCTCACGCCTGCTGGCCCAGTTTAATGATTTTCTAGAGTTTTTGAACCAAAAAGATTTTTTTTTAAAGTAAAAACAGAAGTCAAAGTTAAATGTCCTTGAATGTTTCCAAGAACTAAGTAGTTAGTCAAGAAAAAGATAAAGTGAATGAGGGCAGCTTTGTATCAGTTTGCAGATTAAAGATCGCTGTGGTGGTCTTTATGAAATACAAAGGGGACCAGGCATATAAATATGAACGGGTATAAATGCTTTAATTTGACTCAACTTGCCAGGTGAGGAATGTGCCTCAACAAGTGATCTGTTTCCGTAGGGCCAATCACTAGCCTTGGAGGAGCTCAACTCAGCTAACCAGAATAGATCTGGAATATTCTTGGTTCCCATTCCTGTGCCTCACATGCCTTGTCTCTGCAGGAGCCGCTGCTTTTTCTTCCCTTTCTAAGTCTCTCTCTCCCCTCCTTCCTCCCTTCCTTCCCCCTCCCCTTCCCTCTTTCCCTCTTTCTCCTTCTTCCGCTCTCCCTTCCCCCTTCCTCCTCCTCCCTCTCCTTCTTCTTCTTCTTCTTCTCCTTCTTCTCTTTCTTCTCCTTCTTCTCTTTCTTCTCCTTCTTCCCATTCTTCTTCTTATTCTCCTTCTTCTCCTTCTTCTCTGTCTCCTACTCCTTCTCCTTCTCCTCCTTCTCCTCCTCCTCCTCCTCCTCCTTCTCCTCCTTCTTCTTCTTCTCCTTCTCCTTCTTCTTCTTCTTCTTCTCCTTCTCCTCTTCCTCCTCCCCCTCCTCCTCCCCCTCCTCCCCCTCCTCCTCCCCCTCCTCCCCCTCCTCCTTCCTCCCCCTCTTCCCCCCTCCTCCTCCTCCTTCTTCTTCTTCTCCTCCTTCTCCTCCTTCTTCTCCTTCTCCTTCTCCTTCTTCCCTTTCCCCTTCTCCTTCTCTCTCTCTCTCTCTCATTTATATTGGGCTTATTCTGAGCTCAGCCACCTTTGAACCCATTCTCTATCTTGTAGGTAAAATAGTTCTTAGGATTTGCTAAGACCTTGGAAAATAAAGGAGGTACTTCACCTGACCAGTGAGGATTGTTTTTGCCACAACTTTGGAAACTTTGTGGATGGGAAATTAAAGGAAGTGGTGCTTCTCCCTGGGCCATACTAGAAGGGTTGTGGTCGTGTTGGACTTGCTGTTGATGCAATAACTCTACAGTTATTTCTGTATACTCAAGGCCTGTCGCTTTGCATTTTCTGTTTCTTTAAGAAGACATGAACATCTAGAGAGTCACATGTCTATGGGGAATTGGAATGCTGAGGAATGGAAACAAATGAAAATATATTACACAGGTGGAACTTCAGCTGTGACCTGAAATGTATCACCTAAGAACTCTGTACGGGTGAAATTTTTTCTATCTCGGTATTGTATAATCAAGTTGCTGTTCAAAAACTCTTCAAATTTCATTTTTTAGTACTTACTTTGTAGGGTTTTTTGAGGATTAAATGAAAAACTTTCTGTAAAGTGCCTAGAACGGTGTTCCTCCTATTATTAGCACTCAATAAATGTTAGTTATTATTATTTTAAAAATTTTTCATACAACAATAATATATTTGTTCAGTAGCAATTGAAATTTACTTGAATTTTAATATTTTGGGTTCCCTGATGCCATTTACCACTGTTTGTTTTGATTTAAAAGGGCCTCAAGTACTTGATAACATGCAAGGTTGATCATCAAAGCATCTTTATTGCACTTGTGTTCACAAAGTACATTTTGGTCTTCTTTTAGTTAGTCTGTTCAATCACATTACAAGATAGAGAATTCTGTGTCAGAGAGCCTGTGGGAAAATGAAGAACCTAAGTGTCTGGAGAAATTATATGACCACAATGTAACCCCCATCGTAACCTCTCTCTAGATGAAGATGAAGAAGGACCATCTTCTCTGGGACTTGGGCTCTCACGCGTATTAGGTGAGTGTATGCGTCCACACACATGGATATATGCCTTTATGTGTCCTGCTCTCAACAAATTCTTTTTCTTTTTTGGCCGTGCCTCACAGTTTGCAGGATCTTAGTTCTTCATAGTTCCTCGACCAGGGATTGAACTGGAGCCCCCTGCTTTTGGAAGCGCAGTGGAGTCCTAACCACTGGACTGCCAGGGAATTCCCAACAAATTCTTTTTTGCTAAGCTAGAGATAGTGAGTCATAATCATTCCTTAAGTTTTTTTTTTTTAAATTATTTATTTATTTATTTATTTTTGGCTTTGTTGGGTCTTCATTGCTGCACACGGGCTTTCTCCAGTTGTGTCGAGCAGGGGCTATTCTTCGTTCTGGTGTGTGGGCTTCTTCCTAATTACAGTGGCTTCTCTTGTGGAGCACAGGCTCTAGGTGCACGGGCTTCAGTAGTTGCAGCGCGTGGGCTCAGTAGTTGTGGCGCACGGGCTTAGTTGCTCCATGGCATGTGGGATCTTCCTGGTCCAGGGATCGAACCCATGTCACCTGCACTGGCAGGAGGATTCTTAATCACTGCACCACTAGGGAAGTCCCATTCCTTAAGCTTTTAACTGAAGAACTGCAGTTTGCCAGTTAATGAACGGGACGTATTATCCCCATTTAAGAGCTGGAGTCCTAAGATAGAGTGCCTTGGCTCTTGCCATCAAGAGCTTTGCCTACTAGCCAATAGCTGATGATTCTCAGTTTTACTCTACAGGAGGTAACTATCTTTAGGGAGATGGACAAAATCACAAAAGATAATATACCTCATGTATTCTGTATGACTCTAGAAGAACTTAACCATACTATAAATAGGTCTGTTTTTTTTTTTTAAATATAGGTCTGGGCTGAGAGGGTCTTCTGGGAGGTGTAATGGGCAGGATATATAAAGCATGGACCAAGCCATGGATTCTTTCCTCTTTGCCTTTCACAATTGCCCTCTGTTTATAGAAACCTATTTATGAGTCTGCCTTGGTCATCAGGCAAAATGCCTTATTTATTTCGTGGTTGTTTACAAAACCAAGGGCCCAGGCTACAGGATATTTGTACTGTTGTCTATCATAGCATTCACTGGGAGAAGAGATAAGCGATTCATCTGACAAAAATATTACGGCTTGAAGATTCTGAGTGCACGAGAAAGAAGTCACCGCATTACCATGTCATAAGACAATGATTTTGTTCTCTTGAACAAATGATGTAACTCATTTAGGTTGATTTCACCTTCCTCAGATGTCAGGAACATAATTTTTGCTTTTTCACTATAGTTCTTAGTTGCTTGTGCAGTGACATCTCAGGTAAAAAGGGCCTGAAGCAAAGTCTGAGTTGGATCCTCCTGAGAACATCAAGAAGATTTTCTCCCCTTTTTCAAAGAACTAAGGAGTAGATTTAGCCAGACAAGGATAAGGTTCTAGATGTGGAGGGTAACAAGGAGCGGTAAGATTTTTCTAGGTGGAAAAAGCAAAGGGAAGGCAGATGCTTGGGTGTGTCGGTGGCCTAATTTCTGTAGCCCTGGAGCTGCCCAAAGTATCTTCAGAGTGAAGAACAGCCATCTGAGCCCTAAGACAGGACAACGACCTGGGGGTGAAGAGCGGCTCTAGCTCCACCTGCCAGCTCCGCGCCCCCTCAGCTTGGTTCTATTTGCTCTTTATCTTCGGGGCTTCATTGACATCATTCTACCCTATTTCAGAGTGAGATTAGGTGAATTCCTCAGAGCCCGTGGATCCCAGTGACATGTTAGCTACACCAACTTTGTGTCACCTCTGCTTCTCCAGAAGCAGATTCAACAAGATCACATGATTTTTCAGAGCCTTTTAATGTCTCTTGCCTTTGGCATGTCACTTATCTGACCTACTTCCAACTTTTCATGTTCCAATCTCCCATCCCTTTTATTTCATCTGACTCTCTCCCATATCATCAGCCCTACTTTCTGCTCCCTTCTCACTAGAGCAAACTGCCAACCCCAGTACCTTTGCTCTCTTGTTCACATTCCCCTCAAAAGTCACCCAAAGTTTCCAGGAAGCAAAGGAGAAGAGCTTAAACTATTTTTGCAGTGGAAAGCCTAGAGATGACTTACCTAAGCATGGCCTATTTGCTGCCTGATGTAGTTCATGCTCTGGCCAGGGGGAAGGTATGGTGGGATTTTACCCAGGCACACTTTGGCCATTCTGCGTTTTGTGCTGACTGTGCTGAGTCAGCTATTGTTGAAACAAATGAAGGTAAGTATCCTTGAGGAACAGTGATGGAGGCGTGGGTGACATTCATGTAGATAATAACCTTTCAGGTTAGCTCTGGTCCTGCCCATGAACAGAATCTCAACCCCAGCCAAATCCTTCCAAAAGCAAGTCGTAGACTGTAGGCTGTAGGCTCCCTGAGGCTCCCTGTAGGCTCCCTGAGGGCACACATCTCTGTCTGAGTTCTTTTCATTCATGTATCCCAGGTGCACAGAATGGAGCCTGTCCCATTGTAGGTGCCCGATAAGTCTTTGTTAATTTGAATTCCCGCCTGATGGAATTGTTACTCTAGTACCGCATTTCAGCAAGGCTCTTCTCCACCAAATAGCACAATATCAAACAAGTATAGCAGAGTCGATTTTAATATGCTAATTAATATACACAACGGAAAAAAAGATCGTTGTAAATACCATGGGCTTTGAATGAACGTGAGCTTCTGAGGGCTGTAAATATATTTCAGAGAACAGGACTAAGAATGGAGTAGAAATATACTCAATTTTAAGGAGCATCTTGAACATGAAGGGTAGCTGATAAAGAGAAAATTAAGCTTTTTAATTATAGAAATGTGAAATTGATAAAGAATTCCCTGTTTATCTGAAACACCAAGTTTTCCTAGGACCTTAATATTATTATTCCTAAAAAGCAGGGGTCGAGGGGACTTTAGACTATATAAAATTCCCTCCAATTCTAAAAAGTTGAGACTATAATTATAAATCATCAAAAAATATAAAAAATAAATAAAACTGATGTCTTTATTCTCTCTTTTGGGAATGAGTGTAGCCCTAGAACAAAAAATCTTAACCTGAAGTGTATGGTTGTACTTCCTTGTATGTTTGAATTCCCTAAAACCGTGCATAAAAATTTTATATATGTGCATTTTTTCCCCTGAGGAACAAGGATCCATAGTTTTCATCAAATTCCCAAGGTAGTTTGAGACCCCAAAACCTTATAAGCCACTGGATTATAACATTTTAGATTGTCTCCTTATAAGGCTTGAAATAACACTTTCTATGTGTCAGGCATTATGCTAAACACTTTTTATGTCTTACCTCATTTAACTGTAACTTCACAAGACTGCTGCTTTTCTGAGAAGTTAACTTTCTCAAAGTCTTACAGCTGATAACTGGTGAAGCTGGGACACCCACCCAGGCTGAACCAGAATGCCATGCTTTTATTCATTACATAGAACTACCTTCTTTGTGGGGGACAGAACATTTTCCCCAAACCAGAGCCTTTTCAGTCTTAGCCATTATTTTCCCTGTAATTCATCTTTTATATTTATTTAAGAACTGCTTTCTAAGCACCCTAAACCCTTTAGACACCCAGGGAGCATTCCTCTGTGGACCTAGCTTTCTAAAGTACTGAAGCAACCCTCTCCAGACCACTCACCTCCGTTCTGTTTTTTTCCATTGTACAACCAGGCTGCAGTAAGCATAATTTTGTCTTAACTCTCTATTCTAAACTTAGGTCTGGCCACGTGGCACTAATGGACAACCCATACATTTGGAGAGACTCCAAGAAATCCATCCCAAGCACTGAATTGTCCTGGCCCTGTTCCAGAATTTCACTAACCTTCCACAAATTGTGATTCCAGACACGTTCTTACCTTGGCCCCCAGGATAATGGGAGCCACAAAAGAGACAGAAATTAAAATGTCAGCCCAGCTGGGCCCACAGCAATTACAATGGAACCCATTGCCTCTTCGATCACCTGAGTGCACCACATCTGTGCCTCCTGCAGAAGGGATAGCAAAATAATCCAGAGCAGTTATTTTAGATGTCTGTTTAACTCAGCGTTAACACAGTTGCTACTTAACAACAGCAACTAAGATTTTAATAAGCGACAGGAAAATTTTTAAAAGCAAGGTGAGAAGCAGAGATCAGAATTCTGATGAGCTTTGTAATTCAGCAACCACTACCATCACTCAAAACCTAAATAACCTGAAATACATGATCCAGGCTGGAGCGGCAAGTAAAAGAAAATGCTGTTATTCTCTGCCTGAGAAAAGGGTGTCACCCAAACCTTTTCACCTACTGCAGATTCTGAAAGACGAGTAGTATGCCATGTCACTATGGACAGAGAAAAGGATGTCCACAGCCAAGGTGACATCTGAGAGGTCATATACTTTGTGGGATCATGATAGAAGTTCAAAACATCAACCTGAGAAAAATAAGTGAAACTGATGACTAAGTGGGAAGTATGGGTGGCACAAGGGATTAAATGGTGTGGGAATCAAGACATTGCTAATCTCCTCACTTCCTCCTTTTTTTATTCTTTATAGACCCAGCCACTGATAGGAGCTGCCGATTTCATGTGAAGTGATCAGTTGCTTCTTGTGCTCTGAAGGCGCTGATTTCCAACGACTGCAATGTTACATCCATGAGTTCTTCCAGCTTTGAAACTGAGCGCTCCAAGCCAAGAAGATCCCTTTTCTTCTGCTGCTATGCCGGGGAAACATTGAGATTACTTCAGCCAAAATAACATTTCTGCCAGTTGACATCCTATCTCAGAGAGGCAGCTAATCGTGCTAACAAAGAAAACGATGTTTGGTCATAAAGGAATGTGATGAAACTTTCGCTTTATCTTTTTCTATCTCAATACCACAATATGGAGACGAGTTGTTTTCTTAAAGTGTTTGTCACCTGCTTTGTGATTGTCGTTTTACTTGGCTGCCTTCTCTGCGAGACGATAGGCTTCATGAGGACAGTTTTCCTCCTCATTGTATCCTCAATACAGTAACATTTTTTTTGAAGAAATGAATAAAGACAGTCAACGCAGAAAAAGTCTTCCAGTCTATGTTATAGGAATAGTGAAATCTTTTTAGGTTAGTAAAATGTGGGTTGAATTGCTCAGGAATTTTTAATAACCAGTGTTTGTCAGCTGAATGTATATTATGGGCAAATGTAATACTGAATGCAGTTATAAGTTCTGGAATAGGGACAAGTGTTCAGGCCACGGTGGCTAAGTGCTGTTTTTGTCCTCCAGCTTTTATTTTTACTTCGGGTAACTCTTAGCCAGTGTTAGTCTAGGAAATTGCCCCCTCCTTCACCCTCAGTCCCATCTTATTCTCCTCCCCCAGGTACACTGGGTCCTACACTGGTAGGTGATCCTCTGTGTACCAGAGAACCGTCTTCCCGGGGCCACTGGGCTTTGTTCAGCCACAGTTCCAGCTGGTCCTGTCAGAGGAGCGTGTCCTTTCTTTGCTTTGGGGAGAAGTGAGCTGGAGCTGTGTGTGGAGTCTCTACACTGAAGCCAACAGAGGAGAAAGTGGGGAGTGGGGAGATAGAGGGAAAGAGGGCGGGAGATAGAGGGTCCTGATGACATACATCATTAGAGGCAATAAATCACCCACAACTTAACTTTTTTCTGTCATTTGCCACAAAAATAACTCTAACTGGTCCAGAGAATGTGTTGTGTTACTTTGTTTTTATCTTTGTAAAAGAAAGAAATCATTTCGATGGCTCCTAGAGGAAGTGCGGTTTGGTACATCTTGGTCTTGTTAGGAAATTCATTATTTTAATGGACCGAAATCTCTGCCTTAGATATAATGTTGGAGTTTTGGGAGCTACAGGTAACTCAGGATGCGTGTGTGCTCTCTTCTACCTGACAGCTCCATATGAAGAGAGCTATTATGACTCATTTGTTCATCCATTCAATAAATATTGAGCACCTACAATGTGCAGGCACATCTTTTCTTCAGGATTTATGTTTAGACTGTTCTTTGAACTGTTTCTCATGTCACGGGGATTCTGGACCAGTACTGGTGTTCCCTCCTTAGAAGGACTCCACTGTGTCAAAGCATCACCTTTAAAATACGGCATCTGGAGCAAAGCATGATAACATCCATTCATATGCGTTAAACATGTCTTAAGTGTCCCATGGGCCAGGTGTAAGGGTAACACGGATGAATGAGACAGTTTTGTGCTCAGAGGACTCACTGCCCAGAAGGAGGAGGCTTCCCTGTAAATAAGATAGTCCAGCATAGACAGCTACAGTGAAACCCAAATTGTAATAGGGAAGAACAAATTACTTTAACCTTCGTATTCTGTTGCTTTTGCTACAAGTTAATCACTAAAGGGATGTTGCCTATAGCTTGAGGTATACATAATGGCTCATCTCGGAGAACCCTGCCTCCCATATAATGAGCCTTAAGCTAAAATACCTTTGTTTAGCCCACAGGAAACCTCCTGACCAGGCCCACCTGTAAATGTCTACAGGAGAGAAGAAATTAACACATCCTGGAACCAGGACTTTACCCCCTCTCCTTTTAGTATTAAGGAAGCCTGAATTTAACTCAGGGAAGATGGTTCTTTGGGACACTAGTCCACCATCTTCTCGGCCTGCTGGCTTTCCAAATAAAGTCCCTACTCCTTGCCCCAACAAATTGTCTCCCAATTTATTGACCTGTCATGCGGTGAGCAGTACGAGCTTGGACTTGGTAAGAAAATGAGGGAGCTGCCAGTTCTCCTTGGAGAGGGGAATCCTTGGAAATACTTCCTACCAAGGGGAGGTAATTCAGAGTATGAGTGTGGACTTCTGACAGGCAGATGGAGCTGGGGGAGGGTATTTCTGGGAGAGTCAGCAGCCTGAGCAAAGGTAGGGAGGAATGAAACAGCCTAGTGAGTCTGTGGAACTGCAAAGGCTTTGATAGGTCAGGAGTGTGGGATATGAGATTGGGGTACAAAAGAGGTAGGATCAGAAAAGTAGGCAGGGTAGAGCCTTGAATGCCATACTGAGGAGCTTAGACTTTTTTCCTACAAGGTGACAGGGAATCTCTAAAGTTTTTAAAGAAGAGGGACAACATGACGGGTTTACATATTAGAAAGACACTTTGAAGGTGTAAGACCCAGGCGTTGGACCTCTAGGAAACTGAGGCAGGAAGAACAGCTGGGAGATAAGATCATCTGGATAAGAGATGCAAAAGGATTCCATTAAGGCAATAGCTGTAAGGATGGAAAGAAGGGGATGGATTAAAGGCAGTGAGGACACGGGGACAAGCTGTGCTGTAAGACTTGGCTACTCAAAGTGATTCAGAGGACCCATAGCATCAGCATCACTTGGAAGAAAAGCAGGTTCTCGGTCCCCACCCCAGACCTACTGGATCAGAATCCGCAGCTTAACAAGATCCGCCAGGTCATTCATTCATTCATAGGCACATTAAAGCTTGAGAAATACTGCTCTTGGTACCTGAGATTTAGTGGTGAAGACACAAGACAGCTGAGGTCTGCACCATCACATGCCCAAGTCTGGGGGCTCAGGGGAGGTTTCCCTGCGTAGGTTACAGTGAAAAGCCAGGGTGAACCAGGAGAAGCGAGTGGAACACATGTGTATACGTATGAGGGGGTGGGGTGGAGTCTCCCATCAGAGACCAGGCTGGAAGGGCCACTGGGGCCTTGGAGGAATGAAAAGTGCTGGAGCAGCGTGTGAGGATAGAGGAAGGCACTGTGAGGTGGGGCTGGAGGTCAGGTGGGAGATGGGGTCAACTCGTCAATCATGCAGAGGATTCTGATTTTTACTGCAAGAAGAAACTAGGAGGAGAAAGCCCAGAGCGGTATCAGGAAGGTGGTACATAGGGGGAGAGCTGATAGTCTTTCCTGATGGTTCTGACCAAAGTCCATTCGTTCGTGGAGTCTACTACTTTGGGCTCTTTAGTTTTGACTCCATTTAAGAAAGTTTTACTGAGCTCACACTCTGTATTAGGTCCTATGCAAGGCAAGGGAGGGGTATTCAATATTTAAGATGTGATTCCTGCCCTCAAGGATACCATAGTTTAGTAATGACGTTTTGCTTTGTTAAAGAAGCTTAC